TATGTGTGTGTGTGTGTGTGTGTGTGTGTGTGTGTCATGTGCATTTTATCTTATATTACTACCTTGAAATACTTATTCATTAACTTCATCCTGCTGCATGCACCTTTATATTCTACCATGTTGCTAATATCTCTCTTTAGGACATTGTAAATATTATAATTTTTCCCTTTTTGGTACTTTCTTGTGTACCCTTATTGTTTGTTCTTTGATTTTTAGCGAGTCCAATCGGTTCTTCTCATCCTAAGCATTTCATTTGAACCCTGTGTTAATGTTGCATGTGACAAATAAACAACTTGGAAACTACAAAGGGGTCTAAATAACAGTTTACACTCCAAACCGGCTGGTGGCGGGGATGCGCAACTTCCGGTTTTTGTCAACCTCCAAAAAAAAAAAATCCCACGAAGAAGAAGAAGGAACTCTGAAGCGCGGATGGCGTGACCGTGGTCTGTCCGCCGGACCGCACGGACTCTCACGGTACCGACAGGCTTCTACCGTGAAAACGGTTTAAATTCTCCTCCTGGACCTTTAGCTCTCAGGCTAACAGGCTAGCCCTTTCTGTTGAGGTAGCTTATGCTAACGGATGCTAACATTAGCTTCAGATTCTGTTTTAAAGCTAACAGATTAACTTTTAAAAACAAATCTCAAGCAGTAAAATTCACAAACAAACTGTGAGCATTATCAGCCAGTTTTTATTTGTGTATTTTAGGAAAAGAAGAATGACTTGAAGCATCGATGCTAACATTAGCTTGTTTAGCCTCCGTTAGCCTTTCTGCTTTAAAACATCAAATGATCAAAATCGGAACTTGTGGTTAATTTAGGAACTCGTTTCCCTCTGGAAACAACCAGACGTGTGTTGTAAAACCCAAATTAAAGCCCGGGATGAGCCTGTTTCTCGTGTTTCCGAGCTTTAACCTGCTGTTGTAAACAAAAGCAGAAGCACGGAGTAAAAACCGATTTGTTTTTGTGTCGTGCTTCAAACTAAAGTGATGAACTCCACCACAGCACCGAGTTTTAATCTGCATTTAATCTGCATTTAATCTGCATTTAATCTGCATTTAAACAACCCGAGAACTGCATCCACATCCACAGATCTGATGTGGCTGTAGTTTAGATATTTTTATAAGTGCCTTTATTTCTAAATCAGCTGTTCTTGGAGGTGGACCAGGATTAAAGTTGAGATTTAACTCCTCAGATAAATTAAAACGTTTTGTTTTCAGAACAGGTCGTTAATTTATCGTTAATTTATCGTTAATTTATCAGCAGTTTTCTTCTAGTTTTCTTTGTCTCGGATGTTTTTATGCCAGAAGTTGTGTTTGGTCAAAGTTTGGACGTTTAATGTTTTATTCTTGCAGGTTTGTGTCTCCGTCTCTTTGGGGGACATGTCTCATGATGTCTCTCATGATGTGTCTCATGATGTCTCTCATGATGTCTCTCATGATGTCTCTCATGATGTCTCTCACATGTGTCTCAAAATGTTTCTGTTTATTTGGATGTAACGTTTTGTCTGTCTCTTTGGGGGACATGTCTCATGATGTCTCTCATGATGTGTCTCAAAATGTTTCTGTTTATTTGGATGCAACGTTTTGTCTTTGTCTCTTTGGGGGACATGTCTCATGATGTCTCTCATGATGTGTCTCAAAATGTTTCTGTTTATTTGGATGTAACGTTTTGTCTCCGTCTCTTTGGGGGACATGTCTCATGATGTCTCTCATGATGTTTCTGTTTATTTGGATGTAACGTTTTGTCTGCGGTTCTGCTCCGGGTTTATATTCGTGTCCTTTTTGTTCCTGATGTCACGGTGATGTAGAATAAACTTTACGTACGCCTCGATGTCTTTAAGGTTTAACTTTTAATCCCAACTCTAAACATCTTTTAGTATTGAAGGGTGCACCAGTAGTTCTTTAATCTGGACTAACTTTTGCTTTAAAATAGTCACAAACAGATTTAGTTGATTTGTTAAATGTAGTTTTATAAAAATCTTCGCAGTCGGAGGTCTCTGGAGTTTGTGGTAAATTTTTAAAATAATTTGTTTATATATTTCTTTAAATTAAATACATTTCATGCATATTAGACCCAAATGATGATTCATTTAATTAAATTAAAACTTCAACAAGTTAACAAATATTTGTAGAAACAATTAAAATGTTTGTAATCAGAATATTTATTTGTTCAGATGGAGATTTTCATTGTTTAACATAATTTCTGTAGATATTAAAAGAAATCTTGTGTTTGTTTTTACAAATTAAAATAATGTATTCTATCGTGGCGTTTTGGAAACGTTTCATCCAGACAGACGTGGCGTTTATCTGTTACCATGGCGATAAAGCCTGATGATGCTGAAACTCTGATCCTGGTTTATGAGTTTTAGTTTTCACATTTGAAACCAATAATAATAATATCGATCGTTCACGTCGTCTCCTTTGAAAACTTTAAAGCCCTTGGTGACCTTTTAGCCCTCGGTCTCTGTTGGGGGATGACTCTCAGCTACTGCTACACCAGACTCTAGCTCAGTATCTGTACAATCTGACCACTGCTTCACGAGATATTTTGCTAACAGACGCGTGCAGTTACATCATCGCCTGCATGTCCAGCTGGTAGTCACTAAAATGTTTCTACAGCTTCTTACAGAAGCCAAACTTCAGTTCATGCTTGAGCTTAAATTAACGCCTCGTTCTGAAAACGATGTCGGACAAACAGTTCTGGAGTTTTACGACACGGAAAGAGACGAGTTTATAATTATTACAACACACAGCTGTGGACGAAACAACAGATTTAGTTGTGAAAAGTTCACCTGAATGAACGGGACGTAAAGAAAACGACTGATGATCTCTGTCTGCAGGTTTACCGGATCAGAACCGATTGAACGGATCCGTCTTCCTGCTGCCGGACTGGTTCAGACGGTTTCTTCTCAGGTGACGCAGCATGTTTGGTGCTAACAGGAAGAAGTTCATGGAGGGGGGGCTGGACAGCGACTACACGGACGAGTCGGGCCTCTACTACAGCCAGCAGTCCATGTTCCCTCACCGGACCGACAAAGACGTGAGTCTGACCCGTCCGGTGTCGTGCGTTGATTCGAACGAGTCGTGGTTCAGGACGTTGTTCGGGCGACGCCGTGTTCACGAGATAGTTTTGGTATTTTAAGTTCAGGCTGCAGTCACATCCACTTCTCGGCTGTTTTTCTTTACCGTTCACGCAGAAATAGTTTCTGGATGTTAATCTGACAAATGTGTCTGTAGGAAGATTATTTCTGGTTCTGTGTAGATTTTTATTTAACTCACTGAGTTTGTCTTGGCTCAGAGGATTATAATCTGAGGATTGTTTGTGTCTGTTGAAACGTTCCACCAGTTATGATTTAACAACAACAAGGTTTAATTTATGATTTAATTTGAGTTCTTTTGAAGAGCGTCCAGTTTAATGTAAACTCACTTCTGGCTGTTAAATGCAGCTGCTGCAGATGTTTTCAGCTGCTGTGTTTAGTCGTGCGGCTGCACAGGAAGTGGCGAACTGACGGCCTGTTTGTATTTCCTGTTCAGATGCTGACGTCTTCCTCCTCTTCGTCCACCAGTCAGCTGTCCCAGCTGGGAGCCAGTTTGTACGGCCCTCAGAGTAAGAGACGAAACTGTTCCAGGACGTTTTACTGTCAAACTGAGCGTGAGGAGCTGACTCCAGATCAGTTTAATTCATCTCCTTTATTCAGCTTGGATCTTAATTAGATTATTTCTCACCGTCTGTTGTTTAATCTCCAACAACGAACCTTCTCAGTTTTACTCACTAAGATTCTGTCAGAAGTTCGACTTCCATGTCCGATGACATTCAGGCAAGAGTGGAACGATTAAACAACATTTAATACAAATTCAATAATTTACAGTTCTTTTGCCTCCACTTTGGTTAAATGTCCCTCAGCTGGTGCCTCCTCGGGCGGCTCCTCTCCTCCAACAAGGTTCTGGTGGAGTTCTGTTAAACTAGTCGGGTTCCTGTTGGCTTCGAATCAGAGTCCACAAGTTTTCAAGTCGGGGCTTCGAGTCAGCCTGATCGATCCAGTCAGAGACCGGTTCTGATGCTTGCTCTGATCGTGGTCCTGTTGGACCCGACTGTATCCAAGTTTCAAACACTCACATGTTGATTTCAGGTGAAGAAGTAGCCTTCTTAATTATTCCCTTCCATGATACTCCCACCACCGTGCCTGACAGGTGGTTCAGTGTTCTCAGGTCTGAACGTCTCACCTGGTCTCCTCCAAATGTCCTTCTTGTCTTTTTGTCCAAACAACTCAGTGTTTGTCTCGTCTGACCGTCAAGCTTTCCTCCAGAAGACGTTTGCCTTGTCCATGTGGACAGCTGCAGGTTTCTGTCCAGCTTCAAGGTTTTGGAGCTTCTTTCTTGGTGCTTTCTGTCCATGGTGATGCAGAACTGTCCACTGTGGACAGGGACACTGATGTTGTCCAGCAGCTTTCTGGACATCTGGACCAGTTTCAGTCGACCTGAGAGGAGAGACGAGTTTGGGTCCATCTGTCGAGTTCTGTCACACAAATCTGTTGCTGGCGAAGAACCAGCAGCTGCAGTCAGAAACAGGAAGTTCAAAGGTCTTGTCAAATTAAAAGACTTGGAACCTTCAGCACCGCTCATCAAAAGATTTAACGAATGAATCTTAATCTGTGTGGATTAAAGAATATAATAATAATACATTTTATTTCAGGCGCCTTTCAAAAACAATTAAATTCAGCAATTAATAAAAACAGTCGACAAATAATTAAAATAAGTCATTATAAAACAACATTTAAAACAAAGTTAAAGAGAATATGCCTGAACAACATCCAAAATAAATTCAGTTGTTTTATTTATTCATTCATTTATTTATTTATTTATTCATTCATTCATTCATTCATTTATTTATTTATTTAAGTTGTGTTCACACAACCAGTCACACAAACTCAACCAGTCACACAAACTCAACCAGTCACACAAACACACAACCAGTCACACAAACACACAACCAGTCACACAACCAGTCACACAACCAGTCACACAACCAGTCACACAAACACAACCAGTCACACAAACACAACCAGT